TTTTAGATATCCCTCCTCTCCTTTTTTTCAACCTATCTTTTTGTAGTTTCCTGTAATCCAGTGGCTTGGCCAGACATATGGCAGTGACAACCTGCTAGCAATGATGCAGTGGACTAGGAGGGTCTTCACTCAAAGACACTGCAGAGCGAAATATTGTTCTCAAGGCTGAACTTAGAGGCTTTTATGCTTATGACAAGTTAATTAGATTTGAATAATAGTTTAGCTATAGTATGTATCATACTGCTCAAATGAAAATATACTTTTGTCTTCATTTGATTAATAAACTAATGATCTAGCCTGGCTATGGGTATACAAAAAAAAAATAATTATAATTATAAAGACAAAATTATTCTTTTTACCAATGACAAAAAAGTTTTGAAAGAAAGTAAACTTAACTCTCTATCTCTTATTTATCAATCAAAGAAACAATATAAAGTTGTTAGTATAATAAAAGATTCTTTAGAAAAAAACCATCATTTTTTTGTTATTACTCAAACTTTAATAGTACTTTTTTATAGTTTTTTTTGAAGAATTTTACCTATCTCAATTTGATTTTAAAATTTAAATAATATAAAGGTTTTCATGCCATGGTTGAATTATAAAAATATATTAGTAATCAAGAAATAAACAAGCTCCTATTAGTTATTTTACATATTTCTAATAATAGGTCCTTAAAGTATTTAGCATACAAAATTTTGTAGATCTCTTATGTTTCTTTTTAAAAGACAAAATTTATAGTTCTTCACTTTAATAAGAATGAAAGTCAAGAAATACTATAAATCAATAATTTGAATAATTGTAAGTAGTTTTTTTATAGTTATTAATTTAAAAATTTTAATGTTTTCTAATAAAAGATATTTGATTTTTATTTCTGTTATTTTTTTAGAGACATATCTTTACATATCTCAAATATATTTTCTTAACTTTATAAGAATCTAAAATTCATTATAAATTATTATCAGTTTTAGTATAGGTAGATAAAAATAGATTCCTAAAAAGGGAGATAGGAATAAAAATCAAATGTCTCTTACTAGGAAACATCAAAATTTTTAAATTGTTAATTATAAAAAAACTATTCACAATTGTTTTTTATTAATCAAATTATTGATTTACAATATTTCTTGATTTTTGGTTTTATTAAAGTAAAGGATTATGAATTTTGGTTTTCAAAAAGAAATATAAGTGATCTACAAAATTTTATATACTAAATACTTTTGAAATCCATTATTATAGATGGATAAGAAGTACTATCTATATTTATATTATTGATAAAATAAAAGAGAAAAAATATAATTTTCTTTTTATCTAATAAAAAAGATAAATAAAATTAAGATGTAAAGAAATTTAGAATGAGGACAATATCTTAAGAATATTATGTATATTTTTTATTAACAAGTTTTTGAAATATTAAAGAGATTCTAGTATCATTTGCATCTAATTATCAATTATTAACTTGTAGTTACTGGATTAAAGTATCTAAAGAATATACCAAATCTATAGACAATAGTTTAATCTCTAAAAATAACAGTATTCTGAAAAAGATAGTATGATATTTATCAAGTTTATTAGAGTACATATTAAGAACATCAAGATTTTTCTTTTCATAATAATATTATTATAATAATGAAAAAGAATAGACTGATATATAATAGGCCTCAAATTTTTTCTTTACTTTATCTCTCCTATATTCTAGAGCCACTCATGAAATCCCTAACTTATTATTATCTAAAAAAATATTTATAGAAAATTTCATACTAAATTGAATATAGTAGAAATAAGATTCAAACTGGTAAACAACAGTTGCCTTTAATCAAAGTATTTTTTTTTCTGTATCTTTTTTGTAATATATAATCTTTACTCCTGTTTAAGTTTATATAGTTTTTTTTATTATTTATAAGAATGTTTAGTTTAAGTAATATAGTAGGATATTGATTATAATATTATTAAACAAATTCAAATTTAATAAGTTACTGTTAAGATATAGTATACAACATATAAATATAACTTTTTTTCCTTTTTTTATTTTTATATATTTAAAATTTATTTCAATACTAAGTGAAATTTACACCAATCTTTTGATCTTTTAAGAATTAATCCAACTATAAAGTAAAGTAATTCTCAAAGGACATCTTTTATTATTTTTTATTTTATTTATATCAATCTTTTGATTTTTTAAGAATTGATTCAACTATAAGATAAAGTAATTTTCAAAAAATATCTTTTATTATTTTTTATTTTATTTGACAAGAAAATTTAAATATATAGTTTTGAATTAATTCAATTTTTGTTACTTTTATGAGTTTCAATAAAGTATAATTAAACTAGTATTTTTATTTTTATTATTTTTAATATTATATTTAAAATTTATAAATTTATAATATAATAATTAATATTTTATAAGTTGGATTATAAGATTTATATTCATTTACAGTAATGATCTGTAGACAATAATTTTATTAATTAGAGGAATTATCCAAATTAGTAAAAGAGTGAAATATCATTTCCTAGGTTGCATTTAGAGAAATAGTTTTCAACAACGAGTGAGTCAGTATGTGAAAGTCACAATAATTTGTAAATACCTAGCATATATACAATAAAGATATGCCATACTGACCCAACTGCAGGTTAAAAAAAAAAAAAAAATTATAAAATTTATATTCAATTTTATTTATTATTTAATATAAATTCAATTATTTTTATTAAATAATTGAAGTATATAAATTTATTAATAATTTATTAATTTAATATTTAATAATTAAGTTATTATTTAATTCAAATAATTTAAAATAAAAATTTTAATTATACTTGATGAATTTAATAATCTGAAAGACTATAATAATATTAAAAGATTAATTGATAAATAAGATGAATTGCAAACTCTTATTTTTTATTTAAGTTTTTTGAATAATGATAAAGCTTTAATAGACAAAAGTTGAAATTTAAATATTTTTTTTAAAAATATTCTAATCTAATACTTACTTAAGTAAAGGATTAGTTGAATTAATTTGTTTAATACTGCAAATAGTAAAAAAATTTTTTTCTGAGATTTAAATAAAGTATGAAAATTATTTCAATTAAGTAGAACCCTTTTGAAAAGAGAATAATTTTATTTTTTAATTTTTTTGATAAATCTTAAATTGTCATATTTTTTCATTTTATTATATTCCTTTTTTATTTAATCTTAGCAATTCATGATTTTCAAATCAATAGTAACAAACTATTAGTAATAATTTTAGTAAATAAAGAAAATTTAATTTACGAAATAAGTATAATATTATCTCTTAAATAGAACTTGATATACTTTTATATAAAGATAAGTTAGCCATATTATAAGAAGTTTGTAATTATATTATATCTCTATTAATTTTTAAATAAAGATATACTATTGCAGCATAATTATAGATTAAAAAAAAAATAAAATAAATAATTTTTATAAAATATTTCTTTTTTAATTAAATAAAATTTTTTAAAGAAAATTATATATCAAAAAATAAGAAGTAATTAATATTTTTATTCAAGTATACTTTAATACTTATTTAAATTTCTAAATAATAAAAAGGCTTAAATTTAATTGAAATTTTTTAATTTTTATTGTTTCAATCGTATAAAATTTTTGAACAATGAATTTTTTTGTAAATTCTAATCAAATAAAATTTTTTATAATATAATATTAATCTAAAAGATATTTTTTAAATTGAAAAAAAAAACAAAAAAAAAGAATTTTTCAAATAATCTTAAAGAGTTTCTTAGATTCAAAAATAAATAAAGTTTATAAAATTTTTTTAATAATTTAATCTTTAATTAATAATGTACAAAAACAATTAATCATCGTATAATAGGTTATTGTAATATTGATTCGATTCTATTTAAAATTCAATAAAGATATTTTTTTTTAATAAATAAAATAAAATTTGATTATTAAGCTTTATTGTAATAAGAAATAATTAATTTTAAGATTAATGGAAAAATTAGCTTTGTTAATATTATTATTATTATAGTACTTTTCAAAAATATCTATATTTATTTTTAATTATTTAAAGTATTATATTATGGAAATTAAATTTTGTACCAAGCATTCATTGAGTCAACCCGGGTGCATATGTAATTATTTTTTGATATAAAACAAGTATCGATATGCAGAAAATCGTCACTAAAGTGAGATTCTCGTGTAACAAACTTCGTGGATGAGTCGCAATAATGTTATTAATTGTATAATAGAAAAAGGACACAACCCAAAATTCAATGCTTTAGTTTCCACGAAAGTTACTCGGTCCAATATATAGGAATCGAATGGTAAATCGGTTTCGAAAATTTTTTTTGAATTTTTCAACGCCTACGTTCACGAGATCTAGACCTTGATATTGACCTGCTTTTGTAGATGGATCGTTTCCTACGATTTCTGGAAGTTGAACGTGATCGACTCCTATAAGAGGACCGCCTTCTATCCCTAGATATCGATCTTGATCGGCTACGATATGACTTTCTTCTGTCTCTATCTCTATCCCGATCCCTGTCCCGATCTCTCTCTCGGTCTCGTGACCGGGATCTCGACCTATTATATCTTCCACGGTCATGGGAAAGTGATCGACTTCTCCTACTGCGATCACGATGATATGGTGATCGAGACCGTGAGGAGCGTCGGCGAGATCGATTGTCTGATCGAGATCCTCTGGAATGTTGTTTATTTTTATTGTCACTACCATTTTCCGTTTCCTTTTCATATGAACCTTCATCTTTTCCAATGATATCATCCCATGCAGCCCAACTTATAATCATCATCATTCCGAATCGATTCAGAAGGAATTTTGAATTAACAGATTAAAGTCGGACAAAAGTGTTAATAATTCGTTGCTGTCATAACAATAACCATGTAAACAAATAGAAATCCAATTAGGAAGACCAATCACCGATCATCGTCATCCCCTTCGTCCTCATCTTCAATATCTCCGCTGGGGTCCTGTTTGTTACTTCCGCTCGTTTTACCTCGGTACGAAACTCGACTATCTTTGCTACCTCCATTGTAGCTATCAACATCTTTGTTTTTTTTCCTCTTCCGCCCGAATTCATCGTACTCATCATCTTTTTCAGCATCTCTCGACTTTCGATACTCGACCACCTCGTCTCGTTCCATGAATCCACCTCCACGACCTTCTCGCGAACCCATCGTCGTCTCCGAGCCAGGTTTAGGCGTTTTACATTGATTACATTCTACTCGTCTAGCCCAATTTATATTGGAACAACTAATCACATTTGCAAAAAGTTTTCAGTTTAGTAATGTCGTAAATGCTTTTTGAACTCGTGTCACTTTCACTCACATTGGACATTTCCAGTCTTTCTCGGAAAATAGACCCTATTGTTGCCAATGATAACAAAGTATTAGGTATAACTGTCAGCCTCTAATCAAGCCAAATCGACATACCCCATAACGATTTGCAAAGTCTCTTCCGACTTCCCCAGCACCACTTGAACCGCTGCCCGTGTCGTCTTGGCGTGTTCTTGAAGATACTCCACTGTTGTGCTCACGTTCGCTACGACTACTTCCACCCATCTATTTTTGTAGTGAAATAGGAAAAATTTGGTTTAACAGTCAAAAAATTGATCATTTTTCTTAATTGTAATTACGTAATATCCGCAGTAACCACCATATATCATAAAATGCAGTGTTCACACAAAAGAAAAAATAGTTTGTGAGGAGAGTGGGATTCGAACCCACGCCCATTACTGGACCACGGCCTTAACGTGGCGCCTTAGACCGCTCGGCCATCTCCCCTGATTATATTAAAGGGTGAAAATAATTAAATTATAAAGGTCTGTAACATCTCCTGGGAATTACACGTGATGCATCACGTTTTTTATAACAATTGTATGACTTTGGATATTTTTTAGAACCATTAAATCATAATTTGTCAATTCCTGTTTTTTAAACGTTGAAGCAATAGCATGAAAACAATAAAATTTATTCAAGTTAAATATTATTAAATATATTATGTAGAATAGAGAGTCATTCAAAATAATAATACTTAAATAAAATTACTATTCGTTTTATTTGTTTTAAAACATATCCAATATTACATTTCCCTTGATGTTAGTTAGGGACTAAACGAATTGGAAAACGAAATTTTTCTCTCCATTTGGAAACGCGAATTAATTGAAAATTACAAAGTTTCAGACAAAAGAAGCTTAAGTGTTTGTTGGTGAATTTGTTTAATAGATCCCATGAATTATGATCTGAGGAACATAATATATTTAAGTCAAATATGTTTGTGATTTCCTCCTAACCCCACGACCTATTATATGGTGATGCAGATTTCCCGATTCTTCAGATGATGATTGTCCAAAAGTGTCAAAACACGATGACCCTAAATGTCCATGTTTTCCGGCTGTCTATCGTAGCAAACGGTGTTCATGCATTTCCATTCCCCGGCTGCAAGTGAGTCTTTAAAGTAATGGCAAGAAATCATTTTAGTAGTTCAGTGCATTTGAATTTGTGTGATAATTGGCTAGGGGGATCAGTATATCGCTTACATTTCCACAACCGAACTTTTCCATCATCTCCTGAGGATGACAATATAGTACCAGTTACATTCCACTCAACTTTCCAAACCTTTACACAACAAGAAAATGTCTTTAAACGAAGGTCGTCGATTTCAATCAGGTTGTATTGTTAAAAAGTATCTTTACCTCAACACGATGATCAGGAAGTTCAGCAACAGTTGTAACATGGTACCCTTCATTTTTATTATCTACAAGCTTAAAAATTCTAACGTTGTGATCTTTCGATGCAGTAGCGATAAGATGGTAACTCCTAGAATGGAAAATCACGTTAAATAATTTATAATCTAATGCGGTGACGGATAAATATAATTGACAGCGCAATTACCTTCCCATGTTAGGGGCCCAGCTAACGTCGTGAACAGGATCAGTGTGTCCCTCTAATGTTTCGTGGGGTTGCCACTTTTGTGTAGAGTCCTGTCGGAAAATCTGAATGATACGTAAAATAAGGTCGTTATTAAGGGTTGTGACTCAATTGATGATGTGGATGGTGTGGCAACGGTAAAACAAGAAAGATTAACCTTTGCACAGTTTTCTTTTCCACATCCTACTACGATCATCGGTGTTTTCGATCGGGAAGGACACCATGATAGACAATAATTTCCATCTACTTCTTTAGTATTATGTCCAGTGATTCCAATTTCCTCCACCAGAGTCCATTGTGCCAAATTATTAACTTCAAGTGCCTCATATATTCGAAGCATCCCATCAGCGGTGCAAGAAGCCTGTAAGATAAAAATAACACGGATTGATTTTTGAAGCGTTGAAAAAAAAAAATTTTTTTTTTTTTCAAAAGAAAAAAGGAGGGTACATACAAACTTCAATCCCCAACAATTGGGCGCGAATTCAACATCTTGCACGGAACTATTGCCATCGCGTAGGGTCGCCTTCTCTGGCCATCGTTTTCCACTGTTTTTCGCTTCTGTAGTCCAGAAATGACATCAAGGATTCTTACTTTATATAGTAGGCCCAAGAAAGACTTGGCAAAAAAAGTAATTACCGTGCACTTGCTCCTCCCAGATACGTATGGTACGGTCGAAAGAACATGTGGCTAGAATTTGACCAAATTCAGGGTGCGCCCAAGAGACTTTCAAAACCGAACAGTCGTGCGCCTAAAATAACATAAGTATGTCTAATGACACGCTTTTCGATTTCAATCTATCTTTTTTGTCCATTATTCAGGCAACGAGAGTAGCAAACATACCCTCCAAGAGTCAACAAGCTCCCATTTATTATCTTGATTGCACTCCCACACCTTAACCCTTTGGTCAGAAGAACACGTCGCTAGACGTTTGCCATAAAAGTCGTAGGAAACATCGTGAATTAGATCTTCATGAGAACTTTCAAAAATGTGCACTCCCATTAGAAGATAATGTAGGAATTAAAAAAAAAAACAATTACGTAATGTAATGAACTCTATACGTATATTAGATTTGTCACATTCTGGTACGACACATGATTTTTATTAACGCGTTCGGCTATGCATTGCGTAGTATATACACGTGTTCATATTTATATTGATATTTGATCTCATTTTGAGTATTATTTGTTGGTATCAAAACAACATGCTTTAAATGGTTCGACTATACCATTCCGCCTATCCCCTGCGTCTCACTTATTACCTTTTGGACTGTTCCACCTCTTAAAGCGGCCGCGTAATCGCTGGGAAAATGGTCATTAACGAAAAATGGAAATCTAGATTTTAAAAAGTTTAGGAATTATTCTTATACATTCGATTCATCACGTGACCATAAAATTGTTCGACGACTCACATCAATCGGAAAAATATCCTCAGCCAACTTTCGTTCGCCATCCTTCTTATGACATTGAGGTTCAATAGTCCGGAAAGATGATTGAATTCTATTCCACGTATCGGGACTGATGTATTGGTGATGGGATCCGGAAGGTATATGTAAATAGAATGTGAAGAATCCATAAATACCAAATTTCCAGGTGGATTACAGTACGGTTTCCACGGTGGAACCCGTGTCACACAGTCTAGAGATATGGTAAGGGAGCATCATGAACATGACATTGAAAGCTTGTTGTGCTTTAATCAAAAAAGAGAATAGAGTAAAATACCATTGTTGTAAGTGTGGTGAAAGATTTTCTTGACGGTTTCTGGTTCAAATGATTTTGCAAGTTCGACATCTCCTACGTTTGGCTGGCCATAACTTTAAATTGCAACAAACTTTACCCAAATGCATTTTGAGAGACACACAGCAATATTCGAAATATGCGCTACGTACATGTAAACGCCCGAAAGAATCTTTAGAAGCGGACTTTCGTGTTGCTGCAACTTGGTCAAGAAGACTTGACATCAGAGAAATAACAGTTTCCATTAAATCTGTATGTAAATTCCACGATTCATGACACATCCAACCTACCTACAGCTAGACCTCCGCCCAAGCTATGTCCGGTGATAAACCTTTAGGGATTCTCCATTAGCATATACAGTAATATTGATACCTTGGAAAAGAAAGCAGAATGCTCCTTTCTGAACTAAATTATCACAACACCTACAACTTTTTCTTTCTTGGCCTTAACACACGCTGCCCCGTAACCGAACTGTCATCGTTGGCTTCATTGCATAATTTCGTTATCCAATGTGATGCCTGAGTGTATGCACTGAAATTTCTCTCCTCTTCCCCAACATATCTGTGATCAATTGGATCGTGAATATGGACGATCATGCTTTCAATCATGAAATATAAGAGTGTCTTCAGAGCATTGATCGTTGTCTCGATGGTCTTCACCAGTGAAGTATTATGAAGTTCGATGGTGGTTCGTGACCTGGAACCATGGACCATACCGTCTACATGCTCACCCATGGCTTCGTAAAATCCCTCGTGGATCAATCCCATGTACCCCTTTGTTGGTGACTCTATTTGTCTGAGCAAAGATCTAAGATCGGTTAAACAATTTTGAATATTCAAGGGGTTCGACCCCCTAAACGCCACCACTATTGCATCATATTCCTCTAGCTTCTTTTCAACGATGTATCCACAAATGTTCTGCGAGAATAGATTATAAGGTGAATGTGAAAGAATGGGTCCCTCGAGTACTGATGAATTGGTAAATTCTGCTGACCTTGTAGGCGATAGGTTTGAAGGTTTTTAAGTCGTAACCGGACTTTTCCAATTCGTGCATGATTATGGGAACATCCTCGTAAGCTAACTTTGAGGCCATTGCCAGAGACAAAGCCATCATTTGATTATAGTTTCCATGATGAGTTTCGTGCATCCTAGAATTGGTAGTTTTCTCCTCATCGTCCTCCAAGTCGTCGAATAATCCGATGGGTTGAAAATTCCTATCTGAGGCGCCAAGCAGGCTAAAGTGACAACCGGTGCTTTCATGTACTCCGGCGACCCTATTTTATTAATACCATTGAGGAATCAAATAAATCAGATATTTATCGGTACTTCGAGGAGTTTTCTTCTCTCTCTCTTTTTTTTTTTCTTTTTACCTTGACAAAATCTTTCGAATCAATATGTCACCTAGTATTAGCACGATGAACCAAAAGAAGAATACGCTTCGACTGCACCACGACATTAGGGGTCCGATAAATCGGGTTTTGTTTAGGTAATTAACAATCGGTGTTAAGCTTTTGCTCGTCTGAATCAATAGGTGATTGCACGCGCGAGTTTAGTTAATGAGGTGGACGTGTGTTATTTGCATACTGCACCACGGTAATTGAAAATTGAATGCGTACCCCGCCTAGTATTCGAATGGCCAGGCGAAACGAGATAAAGAAGGATATTCCTAGTGTCAAAACGGAAATAAATCCAATCCATCCTAACCAATAGATATATTGACTCTCCCTCCGAGAGCCGTAGAAGGCTACTGATAGTGATGCTAAGGAAAAGGAAAACACCAGAGTCCAATAAAATATATTTAAGCCCTTCGCCATTGTAATGGCAATAGGTTTCTCGGACTATGTTTAAATTAAGCTAATTAAATATACAGTATTGTACGTTCAAATTATCTTAGTTTGAAGTCTAGATGGTAATGATGTGTTTTTTCAACGCGTCATGGACTTTACCATATTTAGTGTGTGTAATTCATGTGTCTAGAGGAGTGACCCCAAAATTAATATGCATAGCCATGACTGGTTGAAAGATTGGGGATGTGGCTTTCTCATCTTTTTCCTATACGAACCATGAGCACTCTCAAAGTTATCAGCACTAACAAGGCTCCTGCTGCCTTGGGCCCATACTGTAGGCATCGTGATAACTAATTAGGTCAAATGTAATTGATTTTTTTTTTTCTTACAGTATTGTAATTTCCAAAGCGAATTGTTTTATAAATAGCTCAAGCCATAGTCGCGAATGGCTTTGTTTTTGCGTCGGGTCAAATTCCGATCGACCCTCAAACAGGTAGCATCATCGGCGACGATGTTCAGAAGCAAATGGTATGCGACGCGTGCGAACTCGATTCATTGTTCAAATCATGATGCAAACTACGATACCTTGGACCTAAATGTTTTTCCTCCGTGAATATTATTTTGTACATAAAGGAACAAGCAATTACCAATCTTTCAAATGTGCTGCAGGAAGCAAATTCCTCGCTTTCACAGGTGGTTAAAACCACCGTCTTTTTAAAGGACATGAATGATTTTGATGCCATCAATGAGGTCTACAAAAAAGTAAGAATGATTTTTTTTTTTTTTTTTAAATAGAAAGTTACGCGTCAAAGTGATGCACGGTTTTCTGGAAGGTGGTAACAATTCTTTTATCGGCTCACTAGTTTTTTGGTGATGCCCGACCTGCTCGAGCGTGTGTCGAAGTGGCCAGGCTTCCTAAGGACGTTAAGGTTGAAATTGAGGGCGTCGCCGTTGTGAACAAATGACCTATCAAACAGTTTCCGTTGTGTTGCCAATGATACATAAATGTAGGAAATCCATATCACCTACTCATATGCTGCCTCTAATAACACGAATAAATTTTAAACGACTTGAACATTCCAATAAACCTTGAACGTGAGCATACGATAAATTCATTTTAAATTATCATGCACCCAAATATCTATATGGCAAAGGGCATACATAGCCTCGTAAAAAAAAAAAAACCAATGCCTACCAATCAATTATCGTCCCGTGTATGACAGTTTAAATTTTTGACGTCGGACAAACATCTATAGTAGACTCTTGACGACCCTCCTCGAATGACGAAATGGAATTCTTTAGTAGAGGGTACAAGGGACTTCTTGGTGATAAGGGGCAGCATCAATCCGTGGAAGACACAATCGCGAAATTAGTTGATCGTGTCAGTAACTCCACGTTGTTGGAGGACAGACGTGCCGCTATATTGGGCCTAAAAGGTCTCTCGAGGGAGTATCGGCAGGTAGATTTGATCCTGGCATTTCAGACGTCGAACTTCTGCTTCGTTTATCAACATGGTTATTAACACGCACCTCGTTGGAGTAGGAAGTCGGTAGCAAAAGCCTTGGAGCTCTTCTACACATTCTAAACGAAGACCGAGCGGACATTGATACCTCCAAAGCGATTCTCGAAATTCTCAACATTCTGTGCACGCCAGATAGACAAGAGGTTTGTTTATGCCGCCCCGCTCATTTATTTTTGCATTCGCAATTCTCCTAATTTGAATGACCCTTAGGATCCTGCGGTGGACTTGGGCGTAAAATTCACCGATGAGATTGTCCAAGTGAGCTACTGGTGTTTTCAAGTCAACGCACGAGTAGACGTTATTTAACAATTCAATTCAATTCTTCTGCTATGACCGTGACCGTCGTCGACGATATCTAGGATCCCACAAATATAAATTTATTCTTGGATCTTTTACAGGAGTATGATTTTTATGTCCGTTTTCACGATATTCAATTGTTGGGAACCCTGCTGACGGTCAGATCCGATCGTGTACAAGGTTGCATATTGACGGCACCCATGGGAATATCACGCTTGATGGATCTACTAGGTGATCGAAGGGAAATCATAAGAAACGGTATGCACATTCAGCGAAACCTATAGCGGCGGCATTTGGGTAACTCGGAAAATAATTGTGAAATTTGTTTTCAGAGGGTCTGTTGCTACTCATTGCTCTCACCGAGAACAATGCCGATATTCAAAAGATTGTTGCATTCGAAAATGCATTCGAAAGACTGTTGGAAATAATAATGGAGGAGGACGGATTGAATGGTGGCATTATCGTTCAAGATTGTATGCAACTAATAATCAATTTGTTGAAGTATAATGTCTCTAATCAGGTTTGCACCGATCATTTTATGTTGTCGAAAAAAATTTTTTTCTTTTGTTTAATGGTTGATTATCCTTGGCGACTTAACCTTACGAAATTACTTAGAATTTTTTCCGCGAAACTAGTTGCATAAAACGAATTTCTGCACTCTTTGGTTACTCCTCTGACTATAAGAATCACGTGAATGAGATCGAATTTTTGGTTCAAGAGTGGAAGGAGCAGAAAATCGAAAACTCAATATCATTGTTGGAATTAATTCGAATATTGGTGGTTCCAAATAATGTGAACACCGTGACCAATCAGGTAGATGATCTTCGATTCCCACATCTTGATTGATTACAATTATATTGTTGACATTATTTTCGTTATCAAAGACTGTAATGGGACAATGCGGAGTGCTAAAGCCAGTGGTCGAAATAGCGCTGTCTTCAAATGCACCCTCATTAGTTAAGGCACACGTATGCACTCATCTCTGACTTAATCTCACGTTCAACCAAGAGCCCTTTGAATAGGCTCCTTCAGCGGTCCAATAACCAACATTCAATAGTCTCTTTATGCTTTGGCAGATCTCATCCGTGGGAATGGTAAAAATCAAGAGTTTCTGGAAAGGACTGTGGTCACCGTACCATCCTATCGAATGAATGCAACGTCAATCCCATCCGATCATTCCGCCCCAGGCGACGATCGAACTTCTTTCTCGGAACAAATCCCGTCGCTCCCTCCGCGTCCCTCAATTATGGCATTAATAGCCGTTGCCGTTGGTGCCGAACACGTGGAGAGCTACACTACCAGGGCTGCGGCTACTTATGCTTTTGAGGTGAGGTTTTGAGACCCCCCTTTTTATTATCGTCAAATTTTAAATCGGATCTGGAGTTCAAAATTTAACAACATTCTCGCATTCGCTCGCGGAAATTATTGAAAAGTCATACATCTACAATAATACAAACGCGCAGCTTGTATTAGCATCTACTCTAAAACCTCCTCCTGATGATAACTCGAATCCAGCCATTATAACAGGTTCGGCATTACCTTACGAGCATTTTTGATTCACCTCTTGTATAACAGATTAGATGTACCTAATAAAGCTCCTTGATTTGATTACCTAGCAAAACCTCAATCTGCGGGTTCGCTGTTGCTTTCAGCTCTTTTGGAATGGGAGGATTCCGAAGCGGATCCATATGTCGTGTGGTTCGCCTCCGTTATTTTCTCTCATATACTCATGAACAATGAGAAATCCAAAGAGATGGCTCGGGCTATAAAGATTGGTGACGGAAGTGAAGGCGGGGAGGAACATGTTTCCTTGTTGCATTCGATCGCCGGGAATCTGTTGTTAGCAACTAGGCAGAATGCAAATGTTCGAGTTTTAGTAGGCTATTTGGGTGTTCTTTGCGTCTGGTTATGGGATAGCCCTCAAAGTGTTAAAGAATTTCTGTCGGAAGGAACTCATCTGCAAGTTGTATCCTTTTCTATTTCGTCTATACTAGTAGATCCGCTACAATGTGATCATGAACTATGTTATTTCCCTTGATTCAAAAAAAAAAAAAAAAAAAAAAAAAAAAAAAAAAAAAAAAAAAAAAATTAACTTATCACTTCAAAAAAACAAACTTCCGGAGTTGACTCTAAGGTAAAAGGATTTGGCGCATTTTTGTTGGGAATCTGCTATGAGTTTAATCACCTCGCAGATTCATCAATAACGAGGTATGGTAAATTAAATCCGAGAGTTACATTTATGACCTGACGATGAGGCATTGTACACATAAACATTTATGACTTTAAGGTCGACTCTTCGACCAATTTTACTTAACCGCATTGGAGTAGATCAGTTTGTCAACCGCATCACACGCTTGAGGGAGGCACCACAATTTAAGCATGTTTCTCAATATCTTCAGGTATAAATAAATATTTTTTTTAGAATATATTACGCATTGAAGTTACCGTAACAACCTGTATTGCAAACTTTTAACAATAATAATAGATTCTTCCTGAAGAAGCTGAAAGAGACCTTCCCGAATTATATTTTGACTATTCATTTGTTGAGTTTTTCAAGAATAATTATGGTAATTAGGTTGATCATTATATTTTTGAGTTGAATCCTGCTTGATTTTATTTGTTTATTTATCTGTTTATTTTAACCTTAGAAAAAATCCAGAAATCTATCATATCCGATCCTAATGATCCAAAGTCGTCTTTTATAGGAAGTGAGTACATTATTCCAATTGATTGGTATGGCGGTCATTCTCTGATGTTGATTGCAATTTAGGTGGTGAATTCCAAGGTGATCACGGTCAGTCAATGGTTATTGTCTCTTATAAAAATGTTATTAAAACACAAGAGCAGGAGTTAAATGAGTTAAAGGAGACCATAAGAGAATTGGAAGAGAAGGTATGTCTGCATGCGCAGCCACATATGATCAGTATTCATCGCAAGTTCACCCTTTTTATTCTTCTTTACAGAATCTATCTTCCGAGAAACAAATAAATTCTCTACGGGAAGAAATAGAGGTTTTGCGGGAGACGGTAGAATCACAAAAATCTGATTATGCAAAATTGAAAAAGGATCAGGAGGATTTACTCGTGTGTCTTGATGAGCAGGATGCCAATGTTAAAAAGTACAGAGAAAGGTTGGTTGCATTGGGTGAGGAGGTTTCAGATTTGGAAGACGAGGATGATGATGGGGATGATGAGGAAGGCGAGGAAGGCGAGGAAGGTGAAGAATGACAATAACTTATGATGTTTTATAAGGCAATATAATAGATTTTTGGATATTCATAATATTTTTTTGAAAAAATTACTATTAGTATTATTATATTAATATATATTTTATAGAAGAGAATAGGAATATTGGTTTTATATATTAGTATTTTCTTGGCTATGAAATCTATTTTGTTTTCATATATTCAACTGCATTATTCAAAATTAGAAATTTAAAAAGTTAATATCAAAGATGCGATATATCAATAAAACTCATGTCTACAAGTCATGATTAAAATCACATGTCTGTTATTTATTATATGGTTATCTTGTTTGTTCTCTTTTACTGCATAATTTTAACTGTATTTTATTGGTTTGCCCATGAGGTTGAACAATGATTTTATAAAAAAGATGTTATAAAATGTGCAGTATTGTATAACCATACAGTATGTTGCCACAAATGCATTTCCTCAGAAACATAGTGTATTTAAGAACTCCCGCTGTCCGGTTGGTGAACCGGTTCACAAAGGGATCGGCATGATGGATCAGCCACAAAAATAGATGAGATTACATATCGTCCTCCAACTCCAATGGCGAGTCAAAGGAAACCCGAAGCAAAAACTTTTAGTAATCAAAGCCTTTTGCCACGGCTTCCAGTCCCAACTCTGGAAGAGACTATCTCAAAATATTTGAAATCCCTTCGCCCCCTACTTTCCAACGCTGATTATGCTCGCAACGAGTCTTATGCCAAGGACTTTCTCAAGCCTAATGGTTTAGGTCGAATTCTTCAACAAAGATTATTAGACGTTGATAGAATTGCACCTCATAATTGGCTTGATGACACTTGGTGGATAAAAAAGGCATATCAAGAATGGAGGGTTTCAGTGGCCATCAATTCAAATTGGTATTTCTTGTTTATCGACGACAAAAATACGCCGCCTGAATATTTCAAAGTAAACAACGGCGTTCGTCCAAAAGGACGATTTTCCGAATTTCAAGTTAAAAGAGCAGCGCATTTGATTGGTAAAATGCTAGAATACAAAGACTTGTTGGACAGGTAATTTGAAGTTGATAGAAGCATACCGTCCGGTAAAGAACAAATAATAGAATAGCTTCTTCTTTAATAGTGAACGAATTCCGCCTGATGCGACGCGTGCTTACCCTTTATGTATGCATCAATATACGCGTCTATATGGGTACACCCGAATTCCACAACACGATTGTGATTCCTTGCCATTCATACCACATCCGGCTACACCCAGGCATGTTCTTGTTATGGTGAGAGATCAATTCTATGTTTTGGACAGCTATGATAAAGATGGCTTACGATTAAGTGATGGCGATTATGAGAAGTGAGCATAAATCTTTATTTTCACTCGCGGAACAGTTTTAGTTTCCAGGTATTATATTGAGACGAACTTTACATTACCACATAAAGACAACTCTGGGATATTATTGCAGATGTCGAACAAACACAACTTGACCCTCCAGTTGGAGTGCTTACTGCCGATGACCGTGATCCATGGACTAAGGTGATATATTTAATAAAAAAATTTGGGGGGGAGATTTTGGATAACGTCGAAATTGAAATTCGAAAATTTTATTTCAGGCTCGCGAACGTCTACTTGCCATCTCTCCACAAAATCGTGAGACTCTGACCTTAATTGAGAATGCATTATTTGCTGTAAATTTGGATGATTACGCGACTGGCATGGATCTAGATAAATGGGTACGCAATGTTTTCCATGGTCTAAACTGTCACAACAGGTGGTTTGATAAATCAATGTCCATCGTGGTGGAAAGTAATGGACGCGCTGGAATGAATGGAGAGGTAAGTTCTATGTGATAACTATTTACCTAATATAACTTGTATGGATTTATAATTTGAAATAAAAATTTTTTTTTTGTTCATTCGATAAGCACTCTCCATGCGACGCGCTAATACCTTCATTCATCACAAATTACATCGTCCAAGAACCCACATCTCTTAATGCCCAGCCATCTGGCCGATCTATTCCGCCAACACTGCGTATCCGATTCGTCACTAACGAGCAAACTTTGAAAGACATCGCAGACGCAAAAGTTCGTATAGAAAAATTGGTCTCCGATTCTGACATTACAGTTTTGCAATTTTCCGAATATGGCGCGCATTTTGCAAAAAAAGTTGGTAAGTCTAGAATTTCACTCCCCGTATGAGTACCCTTCTATGGATAATTATTGTATTATCAGGGAATCTTTTGATCCGAATACCAAATAATTGAATTACGTAAATAGGAAAATGTTCCCCGGACGCGTACATTCAGATGGCCCTGCAGTTGGCCTACTTTCAACTTCATGGAAGGGTTGTTCCCACTTACGAGACTGCGTCCACTCGACGATTTTTGCACGGGCGTACTGAAACCATCAGGACCCTTAGTGTAGATAGTAAAGCATTCGTGGAAGGAATGTTAAACAAGTCATTGAATGTAAATTTTCGTTCGTATATAATAGTTATCATCATTCTTAATTAAAAGTTCGTGTATTTATTGATGTTTTTCAAATACAGGCACAAAAAAAATACGATTTATTGCAGTCTGCCACCAAAGCACACTCGGTTTACACTCGCGAATCTTCCGATGGAAAGGGTTGTGATCGCCATATGCTGGGACTTAGATTGCTTTTACAAAAAGGTGAATCACATCCAATATTCGGAGATTTGGCATACGCGAAGAGTCAGGAATGGCTATTGAGCACGAGTGGATTGAGTACAGGGGAATATTTGAGCGGTATGTGATGATTTGTTTTCAGGTTGTTTCTGCAATAACAATACAAATGCATTTACTTTTTCTTAAAGGTACTGGATTTGGTTGTGTTTATCCAAATGGTTATGGTATCAATTACTTGCCAGGTAAAATAAGTTTTTTGCCATCTTTAGTAGTAAAGTGTTTTATTTAGATATTTAAAGGTTTTATTTTATTGTTGAATGCAGGTGAGCACTTGCTTAAGTTTGGAATTGAGTCAAAATACTCATCTCCAGAAACAGATACCAAAGCATTCAAGGAAAGTTTGGTGAAAGCATTAAGAGACATGAGAAGTGTATGTGAAGAGGTAAATGGAAGATATAATAAACTAAGTAAATTATAATATCCTAGGTTATCAGTTAAAGAAATTTTTCAAGTTTGATGTTAAAAGTATATGCAAAAATATTATAATTTGGGAAATTATAATATAGAGTTGAATTATATTTGTACTTTTAACAAAAAATCAGTCATATAATGGAGCTATTTGGTGGGGTGCATTGTTTGAATGTTAGATGTTGAGTTTGTTTATGACAAGCTATTTAAATTATTGTAATTCACATCCGCTATTCTAAAAAATTTATTTATTAGAGGGACAGGAGTTACTAGTGCCTGGTCTATATTTTGTTGTCCTTTAATTTTAGCCTGTTTATATGATGAACTTTAAATTTTAGCATAACTTCATTTACTGAATTAAATAACAAACTTTGTTAAGTGTTATACTGAGTTGAACCAAGTGACAGAGTCAAATCAGTCACAACGATGAATCTGGTCAGGTGTCTTACATAGTTTTGTTTCTTCAATAAATTTCTCCTCGCGATAGGCACACTGCAATTTTACAAATTTAAAGTTTTACTAAATCACTTAAGGACTAGCATTTATCCTTTTGATTAGATTAACTAGATTATTTTTTTTTTTCAATTTACAATTAAACCATATTGAATTATTATCTTTATTGATAATAATATAAAAATGATTATTTTATATATATAACAAACTTATTATTAATATACTGTAGTTATAAACTTGTTTACTTAAAATTTAAAAAGTTTCTTATCTATCTCTAAGTTTAATTTAAAAAACAAAATATTATATTTTTTATAATTTAATAATATATATTAATTCAAACTTACACATTTCATTATTCACAATTGGTAAATCAATTATTCTATTAATTATCAAATTATTAAAGTCAAATTATATAAAAAAAAATAAACAAATCTAAAGTATAAATATGCTATTAAAAAATAAAATAATAGTCAATAATAATAATGATAATTTAATATTTTTAAGAGAATTATTATTGTTTCTTCAAAAAATATTCTAATTAAATTAATTATTATTTTTTTTTTTTTAATCTGCAATCATGCCACAATGGTGTGTTTTTATTGAAAAATTGAAAATAAATTTACAATATTTTACAGACTTTCACAAAGTAACTAACTCGTCTTTATACAAAAGTATTCTAAGTCAGATTTTGGAAACAATATTTCACTCCCCTAATAGATTGATAATAACCTCTATCTACCAGGATCATTGCCAACAGTTTGTCACTGTTGATTGCCCAAAAACCAATGAAATTGCTAAGTTAAAAGGGGAAAGGAGAATAACGATTTAGGAAAGGAGACAATTCAAGACCCACTAAAAAAATCCAAAAATAAAAATAAACTCTTCTCAAAAGGGATCTGCCTGAATGGGATAATCTTCTTCCTTCACTTGAACCTCAGAAGAAATCTTCTTTTTCACCACCTGTGGCATCGGATAAGTCAATCCAACTGGTCTTTCATTTAAGTAAGCACCAGATTGAGATGTCTCAAGGAAAGCATTTAGACCTTAGCTTTTTTTCATTAAAGCTTTATCACCACTTGAGAAACTTAGGTAAGAGATGGGAGTTTGCAATTCACATTACCCATCACTTGATCTTTTGGTGTCATAGAAGTTTTCATTGAGGGATTTGAGCTTTTTTGGGGGTAACCGTTTCTAGAACTTTCTTTCTGATTACCAATGATATCGTCGGAACACATGATTGTGACCAATAGGAGCTTATTTACATTCCAAAAACTAACGTGTTTCATGTCAGCCAATCACCTTTGGTGAGGATTTGTGCTACCAAAAATTCAGGG